CCCCCCACCTGGTGGACATCAGCCCCGGGTCGGGGCTGCTGGTGACCAAGCAGAAGATCGACCGGGACCTGCTGTGCCGGCAGAGCCCCAAGTGCGTTATCTCGCTCGAGGTGATGTCCAGCTCCATGGAGATCTGCGTGATCAAGCTGGAGATCAAGGACCTGAATGACAACGCACCCAGCTTCCCCACTGACCAGATCGAGCTGGAGATCTCAGAGACGGCCAGTCCCGGCACCCGGGTGCCGCTGGAGAGTGCCTACGACCCGGACTCAGGCAGCTTTGGTGTACAGAGCTATGAGATCACCCCCAATGATCTCTTCGGGCTGGAGACCAAGACGCGGGGCGATGGGTCCCGCTTTGCCGAGCTGGTGGTGGAGAAAAGCCTGGACCGCGAGACCCAGTCCCACTACAGCTACGTGATTACGGCACTGGACGGCGGTGACCCGCCCAACTTTGGCACGGTGGAGCTCAGCATCCGCGTCATCGACTCCAATGACAACAACCCCCTCTTCGAGGAGCCAGCCTACACTGTCAGCGTGCCTGAAAATGCCCCGCCAGGTACGCCGGTCATCCGCCTCAACGCCTCCGACCCGGACGAGGGCACCAATGGCCAGGTTCTCTACTCCTTCCACAGCTACGTCTCCGAGCGGGCGCGGGAGCTCTTCCAGATCGACCCCCAGAGCGGCCTCATCACGGTGAGCGGTGCCATCGACTACGAGGAGGGTCACGTCTATGAGCTGGATGTGCAGGCCAAGGACTTGGGGCCTAACTCCATCCCTGCCCATTGCAAAGTGACCATTAGCGTCCAGGATGCCAATGACAACCCGCCCCTCATCAACCTGCTCTCTGTCAACAGCGAGCTGGTGGAGGTGAGCGAGAACGCCCCGCCGGGGTACGTCATCGCCTTGGTGCGGGTCTCGGACCGCGACTCCGGGGCCAATGGGCGGGTGCAGTGCAAGCTCCTGGGCAACGTGCCATTCCGGCTCCAGGAGTATGAGAGCTTCTCCACCATTTTGGTGGATGGGCGGCTGGACCGGGAGCAGAGGGACCAGTACAACCTCACCATCCAAGCCAAGGACAATGGTGTCCCCTCCTTGCAGGCCACCAAGTCCTTCACTGTCAAGATCACCGATGAGAATGACAACCATCCCCACTTCTCCAAGCCCTATTACCAGGTCATTGTGCAGGAGAACAACACCCCAGGGGCCTACCTCCTCTCTGTCTCAGCCAGGGACCCTGACCTGGGCCTCAATGGCAGTGTCTCCTACCAAATTGTGCCCTCCCAAGTCAGGGACATGCCTGTCTTCACCTATGTCTCCATCAACCCCAACTCTGGAGATATCTATGCCTTGAGGTCCTTCAATCATGAACAGACTAAGGCCTTTGAGTTCAAGGTCTTGGCAAAAGACGGGGGTAATCCCTCTCTGCAGAGCAATGCCACGGTGAGAGTGATTGTCCTGGACGTCAACGACAACACGCCTGTGATCACGGCCCCGCCGCTGGTCAATGGGACCGCGGAGGTGTACATCCCCAGGAATGCGGGGGTCGGCTACTTGGTGACGGTGGTCAAAGCAGACGACTATGACGAGGGTGAAAATGGCAGACTTTCCTACGAAATGGTGGAAGGAGACAGAGGATTTTTTGAGATAGACCAGGTCAATGGAGAGATAAGGACCACCAGAGCCTTTGGGGAGAACGCAAAGACAGCCTACGAGCTGATCGTGGTGGCTCACGACCATGGAAAAACATCTCTCTCGGCTTCTGCCTTGATTTTGATATACCTGTCTCCCGCCCTGGATGCCCAGGAGTCCATAGGATCTGTTAACCTCTCCCTGATTTTCATTATTGCCCTGGGGTCTATCGCAGCCATTCTTTTTGTCACCATGATCTTTGTGGCAGTCAAGTGCAAAAGGGATAACAAGGAAATCAGGACCTACAACTGCAGGTAAAGACATCTTTGTTTCTGTGCACCTGCTCTGATTTTTGCCATCACAGTTACTTTTCCGTTTGCTGCTGTGTACTTGGGGGGTGAGGGTGGAGGGTGTTAAATTTGCTTTAGGAACCTAAGTGAGGTTCACGTCCCTCTAAGGAAATTCCTTGCGAAGCTTTAAAGAATTGCTCTCCGGGAGGAGAGCAGAAATCCGTGCTGAGTAACGAATGGACTTAATTGTGCGGCTTGACAATCTGTTGCAGCATCCTTGATTTTCCGCGCTCCGTCGCAGGAAGGGGGGGAAGAACAGTTTTATAGCGGCGTGGCTGGTTCCCGTGGGCAGCCCTCTGTTCCCGGCACAGCTCCCCGGGCTTGGAGCATGGCGGGAGGGAAACCCCCCCCCAGCCCACCGCAGCATCCCTGCAGCAGACGGGGCGAGCGGCGGCATCCCTAAGCCCTCGCTCGCCGTTCAAAAGAGCTATTGTGCGCCCGATGCGGCCCCTCACCGCGGCCGGCGATGGGGCCAACTGGATGGAACAGTGGTGAAAACCAGCCGTTTTCCCTCCGATGCGCCATTCCAGTCCGGTTGGACCGGGAGCGATGGGGCGAGGGAGGATTTTTGCAGCGCTGCGTTATTTTGTCCTGGCTGAATGCGTGCTCCCGGGTCCGAAAAGCCGGAGGGGAGGTCAGCCCCGCGCTCGGGGCCGCTGAAAGGCTGATAGGGGATATCCAATCCCCTGAATATGTAACAGCCCGGCGATTATTGTCTCGCTTTTACTATTCCCTGTGTTACACAAGTTAGGAGACAAATGCTAACCACACATGAATATCAATCAGATGCCATAAAAGAGCAGCTGCAATGCCTCATAAATGGTTTAATCCTGTTACTAGTGAAATAGCCATGACTTCTCCATTCCTTCGGCACCGAGTCGTTTCGGGGGGGGAGGGATGGAAATTAATTTTGCTCTACCTTGGAAACGCCCGCTGGCCCCTGGCAATTCTGCGGTGCTGGGGAGGGGGGGCTGTGCTGTCTTCAAAGTTTTTATTTATGTAGAAATAATGCCGGAGAGTTTGGGGTTTTTTTTTTACACGACGTTTTCACAGCATAAAGTGCGCTCCTAAGCCTTTTTGCTCTGTGGGGGAAAAATCATCTGCAAATAAAGGTCGGTCTGTGCTGTATTACGGGGTGTCTAGCTTCAAGTGAAAGCTCATATACCAGATTTCCTGCCAGCTCGGCCCATTAAATGAGAATAGGACCTGAATGGATAAAAATCAGGTCGTGGTGGTGCCCCTAACAGCTTCACACATATGTATAAGCTCTGGGTTTACTGTGACGGCTTAGGGATTAATGAAGTGCAGTTTAATTAAATAATTGGTCAATAGAGAAAGGACAGCAAAATGAATGCCTGCAAGCAATAATTGGGCTCTCGCATTGCCAAACGTAAACATTTAGGTAAACAAAACAATTAAAGCTTCATCAAGCATTGTTAGACGAGTCAGCAGCATATAGATTGTTGGCACAACAGAAATCCCTGCCTTCCCCTGATTTATTTGCACACTCAGGGGGATGCACGGGCTGTTACCGGTGTGCATCTGAGCAGAAGTCAGCTGCAGAGGTAGAGAAGCACCAGGTAGGCTCAGCAGCGACTGTGGCCATGGGGCACGCTCTCCCCGTGCTAGATGCGTGCCTTCAGGCTTTGCCAGTGCCTTATTTTAGAGGTTCTTCACAACAGCTGCTGGAGAGTCTTCATAAAATGTGTTAATTTATGAAGCACATAAGGTTATATGAGAGCTGTTCGACTTGGTGGCATTTTCATGCTCAGGCAATTAGCTTTCTGGAACAAGAATATTTGTCCAATATTTGCCTTTCTAGATAAACTCTATTATTTATTCATCCCATTATTTCTGTTGCAGCTATTGGATTTTTTTTTATGCTGTTATCGTAACAAGAAGAGGAGCAAAGTCCTGACTTTCAAATGTGTATTTCCGACTGTTGGTAGCATTTGATGTGCTTCCCTGGGAAATACCGAGCTGCCCGGCGCTGTGCGTGCACAGATTCATCTGTGGGGCATCGGCTGGGGTTGTTTTGCTCCCCATGGAAAGAGGAGCCACAGTCGCTCTGAGCTGAGCATACCCAGTTAATGCAAGGTGCAGTCATATTTGTCATTATTTGCTCGGGTGGTGTTTTACGGTAACTTTTTTTCCTCCGGTGTTTTGCAGAAGGTATTCAAGGCACTTCGTCAGTTGATTCTTTTGGCAGGTGGGAAGCAAAGAGGGAAAGAAAGGCAGAGAAAAACAAGCTTGCAGTAAAAAAAAAAAAAAGGTCAAAAAGGATCATTTCTCTTTGCAAAACACAGTTGTTGTTCTCCGATTTCTCGAAGAGCAAAGCATTTCCCAGCAGAAGGGGGTGTGCGTGTCAGGAGGCGAGGGAGTAATAGGATGTGGTTGGAGAAAAGATTTTGAGTTATCAGGTATTATCAGGAGATAGTCAAAATACCAGCAGTTTGGATAAAGCATTAATAAACAAACAGCCTTTGGAGTGTGAGAGAATAGAGCTTGCCAGCTAGGACTGCTTCTGGGTCTGCCTTATTTACTGCTATGGAAAATGAACTGGCAAAAAAATCTGCTATTCATTTTGAATTTTCATTACCGGGACCAAATTAAATCACTTTTAAAATCCTTATTATGCATGGAAATGAATGCAGGTACCCTTTTCAGTTCATGGATTTTAACATCTCCATTTTTCTCTTCTGCAGGCTGGACTTTACTCCTAGTAACTAAATATCAGCAATTATAAACTGTAGGAAAAAACCAGAGGCATTCTCCTTTCCCATTATTTTTCATATTTGACCTGAAAGCATTATACATATGAAAACAAGCTAAAGACCGTGTCGTGCCACCAGATCCAAAACATGACGTAATGTGCATGACTAAGAAGCCTACACCGAGATGGGGGCCAAGCCCTCTGGGTTTCTGCATGTGTATGCAGCGGGGCAGGGTTCAGGGTGCTCTCAGCTATTCATTTTCCTTCTGTCCCCCCCCAGAATCGCAGAATACTCCTACGGGCATCAAAAGAAATCAAGCAAGAAAAAGAAAATCAGCAAGAATGATATCCGCCTGGTACCGCGGGACGTGGAGGAGACGGATAAAATGAACGTTGTGAGCTGCTCCTCTCTCACTTCATCCCTCAACTACTTTGACTATCACCAGCAGACCCTGCCGCTGGGCTGCCGCCGCTCCGAAAGCACCTTCCTCAACGTGGAGAGCCAGAACAACAGGAACGCCGGCTCCAACCACATTTACCATCACACCTTCACGGGGCAGAGCCCCCAGCAGCCCGACCTCATCATCAACGGGATGCCGCTGCCGGAGGTGAGTGCGGGCGGGCAGCCCCCGGGGCGTCGGTGAGGGGTTTGCGCGTGGAGCGTGCAGGTCTGTTGGCGTGAGCGCTGCCGAAACAGGCTTGGAGCAAACAGGCAGTGGTGGTTTCTGCATGCCCGACACCCCAGGGCAAGGGAGTGATGGAGCCTTCCCCATCGAAAGGGATGGCAGGCACCCAGCTTGTGAGTTCTGGAGCAGCCCGTGGGCATGGGTGGATGTTTCACCCCCAGACACTGCAGAGACCCCCAGAAGTTGCCAGGCAGGGATGCCGGCATGGCCGGCCAGGCCAGGCTGCCTCCCTGCTGCCAGGAGGCTGGAGGTGGCTGCTTTGCATGTGGATTTTGAGCGTGTGGTGCTCAAGGGAAGAGACACTCGTTGCCTTCACAGGAGGTTTTAAAAACGTTGTTGAAAGTGGTTTTGGTGGCTGTTGCTCTGAAGGCAGTGGGTTTGGCCGGGGATGCAAACAGTGCAGGACGGCCCGGTGTGACCACTTGCACACTTGGCCTGGTCCTGTCCCCTCGCTGTGCAGGATGGGTGCGTGCCGGCCGGCATGGGAGGGATGTGCAGTTCCTAAAGAAGGCAGGGAAAGGTGCCGCTCTGATCCACACCATCCTCATCATGTTCTTCTAATTCATCGGCTTTCCTGTACATCACAGGCATCATTTAATGTTGCTTGTTTGTCTCTCTTTGAATTATTGTTTGGTATTAAGCAAAACAATCAAAGGTTTGTCATGTTTCCTGCTTTGAACAGAATAACAAAGCTGAAAAAGCAGCTAAAATATTTATGGCTTGCTCTGTTTTGCGTTCAGTGTGCTGGTGTAAATGCAAAATATTGCTGCTGAATACGGTGGAGCTGCTTCAGATTTATATTTGCGCTATGGAGAGCAGAGCCCGTCCCTCTGTGAGAGTCTGCAGGGCTGCTGGAGAGGGCTGGTCCCGGCAGGCCTCATCCTGCAGCGTTTGTTCTGGCAAAACACTCACTGAACCCTGGTGCTCAACCGCCGCTAAGGCTACAGAACCAGCTCCCGAGAGGTCACTTAGCTGTGTTGGCCCAGTTTTGGGGTGCTCCCAGCCCAAATGATGGTTGCTTGAAGCAGAGGTGCAGCTTTTACTGACCAGACAGTTGGGAGGGAGTTGTTGGGATCTCTGGGACAGATCATGGGCACTCAGCTGCCTTCTGCCCAGCCTGCCTTTCGAGCCTCTCCTGCCCTCACGTGTGTGGGCTCCTCGCTGTACGGCATTGCCTTTTCCAGGTTACCCGCTGAGATGCTGCGAGGAGCCAACTCCTGCACGGGCGCACCAGCACAGCCCAGAGCTGCCACCCATGGCTGCGGGGCCGGCAGCGCTTGGGAGGGTATGGCGGGGCAACCAAGTGCTGGTCCTGAGAGTTAAAGCTCGATTTAACTTCTGATGTCAGTTTAAAAGCTGTAATAGTTTCTTAGAAGTAACTGAATGGGAATGACGTGGATATAAGCACTCATATGTTCTACTTGCGTGTATCCAGCCATACAGATGGGAACAGTTTGGGATAAGCCTGTCTCTGGTCAAGTAAGGCAGAAGAGCTGCTACTGAAGCTGCCTGCTCCTTGTGCTGTGCCTGGGCAGGCCAGGGATGGGAAACACCACCCTTCGTGTACTGGGGGATCTCCATCGATGCTCACATTTGCCTGCACGCTTCGTGGAGTACCAGCTGGGGCTCAGGGCGCCCAGCTGCATGGGGGATGCATCTCACGCTTGTGGGTGACCAAAGCTGTTGGCATGCTGGGGGCAGTGATCCCTGAGGAATTTTTGCCTTCCTGGAGCTGTGTCGTTCGGAGAGGGGTCTCGGGTGTGTTTCTGGCCGGTGCCTTGCTAAGGGCACTGAGCAGTGGAGCACCCTGTCAGACTGTGATTCACTGCCATAGACAAAATTCAGTCTTAAAATCCATCACACATTGGAATTAGCCAGAAGGACATGCTGGCAGCAGGAGATCTGCGGTGACGGGGAGGGGGGAAGGACCGCTGGGAACATCATAGCTCAGTGGATACGGTTAACAGGCAGCTGCAGGCAGAAGGCCCATGTTGCTCCCTGACACAGTAGTTAGCCTGGGGTCCGATGGGATGGGCTCTCCAAAGACCCCCACTGCCCTGTGCACCCTCCTGTGAAGGAGCTGTGACACTGGTTGCTTCTCCCCATGCCTCCAGCTCATCCCATTTCCCCATCATCCGTGCAAGTAGGATGCACTGCGAGGAGCTGGTACCTCACCTGGAGTAATATATTTGTCTCATGTAACAAATGCCATGGAGTGTCAGCTTAAAATGAGCCCTCCATCAGCCCCGTGAGCACGCAGGAGGGCATCTGACAGCTCTGCATCCTGCTAAGGGACCAGCAGCTCTCGGGTGGGTGCTCTCAGGGAGAGCAGCATATCCTAGCAGGCGTCTGCTCGCTCCCTGGGGATGCTTCTGGACAGAAGGGCAGGGCCAGGGCACGGGGAGGAGAAATCCCAATAGGAAGCTGCTTGGAAGGTTGGTTCAGGGTGGGAACTTTTCCTTTTTTTGGCAGAGAGCCTCTGTGTAATGCTTCCAGCTGTTGCAAGGGAAGTTATCCTGCTGGTGGTGTGGGTTCAACTGGCTCCTAAAAATCCTGAGGGAGAGGAGGCTCAGCAGTGTCAGTGACAGCCCTGAGAGGCAGAGACTCCATGAAAGATGCTTCACAGCCTTGTGAAGGCTGCCTTAGCAGGTGCTGTCGCTGGGATGATACAGTGTGCTGTTGGTACACCTCCAGTTGATGGTGATTGACTGAAAACTAAAGTCCTGCCTAGGTCTGGAGTTCCCAGAGCCAAACCGTTCCCCGCAGCGCATCCAGCGGGACTATGTCCGGGCTGATGTGAAGCACCTCCAGCGACAAAGCCGCCAGCGTTTCCCCCGGGAGCCTTTACGAGGTGTCAGCATCGGGGAGATATCACTGCTGTTCCACTTGGGAGTGACTTTTCCTGATGGGAAGGCAAAGCGGTGGTTGATGAAAGATAAAGAGCTAAACGTGTCGGTGGCGGTGTCACTTAGCATACGGCGGTTGTGGCTAGGAGTCAGCGATTGCCTCGGCAGACAGGCATTGTCCTAGCAGCGGTGGGTTGGCAGTGCAGCTGGTCTTTAACGTGAGGCTCATTTACTTTAACAGTCAGGAACCTTGAAATAAAAGTCCCCAAGGATGGGTTGTTTGTGGAGCTTCAGGAAATGTTTCCTCCTGTGCTGCGGCAGCGGTATGCGCTGTGGCAGGTCTCGGGGCTGGCAGTGCCGTGCTGGCAGTAATTGGGTTCGTCGGTGCTCCCCACCTTTCCCAGCTGATCCGGAAACGATTGAACAGCGGCGTCTGCGGGGACCGCAACCCCACTCTAAGGGTGCAAAAAAAGTTCGAGGTGACCCTTGAAAAGCTTTTCCCTTTGGTTGGGGGCCGGGCTCGGTAACCTGCTCTGCTTGTGCCAGGGCATGGCTGCCAAGGGAGCATCAGGAGGTGGTGGGTGTTCTGGGGGTGGTCCTGGACCCACTGGGCTTCAGTGGTCCCTTGGGTGCTGGGGTACCACTTGGCGACCCCTGCCCGCAGCCTTTTAGCATCCTCGTGGCTGTAGGCAGCGATGGCCAAAAGCGTTTGTGAGCAGCTCTGGTGAGCGTGGCTGACAGCGGGAGGCTTGGCCCCCGTTAGTATTTCGACTTGTTTTGCAGGAGGGAGAGTGGGACATGTTGGAGCTGCAAGGGCATTGCCGGTCAGAGGCTTTGCTGCTGCCGAGGGCTTTTCTTAGCCGGACGAGAAGTCAGCTTTGAAACCAAAAGGGCTTGTTGTCATTTTTTTTGCATGTATATTACTGGAAGTTGTGCCAGGAGATTAAAAATCAAAATTAATAGGAGCCATTAGGCAGCTTCCTTGATAAAAATGCACATTGCATTGGGGCGATGTGGAAACCGG